TGACCTGCTGATCTAGCAGTAGCCTGCAGTGCTGCTTTTAACCACTGCGCCACCTTGGCTTCTGTCAATTGGAAAGGTTGGCAGTTTGGTGGTTCGAATCCCTAGTGCCGCGTAATGGAGTGAGCTCCCGTTACTTGTCCCAGATTCTGCCAACCTAGCAGTTCAAAAGTATGTAAAAATGTAAGTAGAAAAATAGAAACCTTTGGTGGGAAGGTAACAGCATTCCGTGTACCTTCAGCCACATGACCATGGATACATCTTCGGATAGCGCTGGCTCTTTGGCTTTGAAACGGAGATGAACACCGCCCCCTAGAGTCGAGAATGACTAGCACATATGTGCGAGGGAACCTTTACCTTTAAAATGTATTTAGAATGCCATTTTGGCGTAGTAGTTAAGGCATCATGTTAGAAATTGGGAGAATGTGAGTTTTAATCCCGCCTTAGGCACATAATGAGCTAAATGATCTTGAGCTTCCTCTCAGGCCTAGGAAGGAGGCAATGGCAGACCACTTTTGAAAAACTTTATTAAGAAAACTGCAGGGATTTGTCCAAGTCATTCTGAGAATCAAACACAATTAATAGGAAAAAGAAGTATTTAGCATTAGTGCTAAAAAAGGAAGGAAATACTATCAAAAGCAAGCTAAAGCTTGTTGTAATCTGATGCAAAGTTCTTTATTCTGCTTATATGTAAATAAATATATCCTCCACCTTGGAAAACAAGAAGCATAGTTACCTAGAGACCTGTGCTTCTGAATTTTTCTGGATTATCTAGCAAGAATGCAGATTGCACTTTTCATAGAACCAATTAAATTGGTTATTGGACAAGGGAAAATAGCTCTGGGGCATAGTACACACTTCACATACAAAAGTTGCCAAGTTCATTCTCCAGTTAAAAGAAAGTAAATAACAAATATCGTGAAAAACCTCTGCTGTGGAAAAGTGTTGCCAACTAGACCAGACAATAAGAACTTAATGGACAAATTGCCTAACTTAGTGTACTTTTCTCATATAAATATCTGATCTCATGAAACATCTCCCTTTATTCTATATTCTATTCGATAATAAGGTTATTAAATGTTGTTGGAATGAATTTTTCCCCCTTTTTCAAAACCTTTTTCCCTGCGTGATAAAATCACAGATAAGCTCTTAGCAGCGACCCTTAACACAAAGCTCCAAATCCATTTAACATGGAAGGAAGTTTCATTGATTTCACAGCCTGGCAGTCTGATTTAATGCTGCCATGTCAGCTGCAACAGTACAAAAAGTGCTTTGTCCCAGGGCAGCCCATTTAGCATTCTATCTTATGTGTTGGGCAGATACCATGCAGTTCTTTTTCACTTTTGTCTTAAAAATTCTGTGCTGTTATGTCCTTGGATTTGTACAATTCACAAAAGTTGCTATGCAGCAATTATGTATATCACACCTACAAGAATAAAGAAGGCACCTGCAGAGGGCTAATTATCTTTGTCCAGCTATAGAAGTGATTAGCCATTTTAATCCTCAAAAAGCACTTGTGGGGAAGTGTGGGAAACAGGCATGTAGCACTGACTGTACCAATAAAGGAGAATATTTGTAGCTCAGGTTTGAAATGAGGGGTCCTTGGTGCTCTCTGAGCTTTCTTGTTTTCTTGCAGACATTTCATTACCCTAACTATATAACATTATCTGTGCTATGGCAGTAAGTGGTGTGCAGTACACTAGCATTGATGATGTTAGCTACTTAAGGTAATGAAAATTGGGCAAGAAAACAAGCAAGCCCAGAGAGAACCAAGGACCCCTCATACAGCACTGTTTGCTCATTTCAAAGCAGCTGTGTCCTGCTTGTATGATCCCAGGAAAAGATGCAGCTGCTTTAAGATAATTGCAGAGAGGTGCTATGTTTGTATGTATGTTTGGAAATGATCATCATTACATGTGATGTCAGTGAATTCTATAGTTGAACCAATGGTGGGATTCAAATAATTTAACAATCTGTTCTCTGTCCTAATGATCAGCTGGGTAGGTGGGGTTCAGTGGTCATGTGACTGGGTGAGCATGGCCAGCTCATCACTCATGTCGATGTGTGCTTTGCCTTAGCTGTTACAATGTAATAAGGGTTAACTGGAGAGGCAGTTTTTGTAAGTAGGGCAATAAAGATTAGGCTAGAAACAACACCAGAATATTTACTTCCTGCCTTCCTTAAAGGACTAGCCCGGTAAAGTGGGAAAAAAACAAAATGAGATATCTTCCAACAACCGGTTCTCCGAACTAGTTAGAAAGTTAACAACCGGTTCTCCCAAATAAGTGCTGAATCCCAACACTGAGTTGAATTATGCATTGTGCCCTGCCCTTGATGTTGACCCATTACCGTCAGGATAGTGCTTACAAAGGGAAGAATGGGTTTTGCTAAGAATTCCAGGAGTTGGAAGGCTCCCGCATTTGGAAGGTTACATTAAGACAAGACAACTTATGAGTTAGACAGACTAGTCTCGTGCCACTAGCTACCATATCCAGAAGCATAGACAGAACTCTTGATTCTCAGAATCTGCCTAGACAAGTCCCTGCAATTTTCTTGACAAGATGTTTCAAAGGTGGTGTGCAATTCTCTCCTGCCTAGGATGAGTGAAAGTGGTTGGCCCAAAATCACCCAACTGGCTTTCTGCCTAAGGAATGAGTAGAACTCACCGTCTCCTGGTTTCTCATCTGATGCCTTAACTCCTTTTGGCTTTCATTTATTTCCAATAGTGCTTATTAAACCCATGCTATTCCTTCAGGAGAATTTTAAAGTTTGCACACATTTTGTTAATATTTGATAGTTGTAAAAAGATTATTGCCCACCCACATGGTGGCATTAGCTAATATTGGCTTATCTTAAAAAAAAAACCCAAGCAGGGTTTAACCTAATAAGTACTTGGATTAGTGACCACCAGGAAATATTAGAGCTGAAGACTAGCTTGGGAAGTAATAAAATGGCAAATCTCTTTCGCATTTGGTAAATAACATTAGGAGTCTATACGATCAATGGAAAATGAGCCCTACTCAAATGAGACTTAAAATAAGAATATTAGCTATCAACAGATTTTGGATGCCTTGTTCATATATATGCATATGTATATGCATACGTCTTGTAGTCTATCTTTTAAGAGCCGTGGTGATGCTGTGGTTAGAATGCAATACTACAAGCTACTTCTGCTGACTGCTGGCTGCCAGCAATTTGACAGTTCAATTCTTACCAGCTCAAGGTTGACTCAGCCTTCCATCCTTCTGAGGTCAGTAAAATGAGGACCCAGATTGTTGGGGGCAATAAAAATCTATTTGATACAGCACTACTTCTGTCTATTATAGCAAAATTATGCCAGTACTGCAACCTATGGAGATTTCTAAAGCCTACAAAGAAGGAATAGAAGTTTACGCTTACCTTATTCTAGAAGCATATTCAGTTTTATTTTGCTTTGTGTTTTCTTTCCAAAGCTCGCTCTTTGATGGCCAATGAATGGCTAATGCCTGCCTTTCTTCCTTTCTTTCTTTTGCTATTTAATGCAAAGTATCTTTGTATTAGCCATTAAGACGAACCAGTAGGTT